AGTTAACACAAAATTTTTGGTTAATATTTAAACCAAGATATATATATATATATATATATATATATATATATATATATATTAAGAGTGAAAATAAGAAGAAATAAAGGACCATGTCTCTCACTTAACATATTCTTTTCAACCACGTTAACCATCCATTACAATTAAATTTCTAGCACGATTTCTTTACTCTCACGTCAACTTTAGATATTACTTCTTACAAATTTCTTAAGTGTCATTCTATCATTAAAAACCATATTTAATCCAATAACAACAAAATTACAACTAAATATTATTTACTGTAACTTAGTACCAAATAATTTATTAATTAAATAATAACTATTAAAACAAGCTAACTAAATAAAATATTTAATTTTAATTTATAAAACATTTTTGATTCAACAAATAAATGTTTATAATTACGCATAGGAAAATTAAAAAAAATTAATATTTTGTATAATTTAATTTGTTTACATATATTTAGGGGGTGTTTGGGATTGCTTATTGTATCTGCTTATTGACTTATTTCAGTCTGACACCGGTGATAAGCTAATACCTAGTGTTTGGATAAGAAAAAATAAAACTGCTTATACCGGTGCCAAACCGGTAATAAGCAGTTTTTGATAAGTTAATCCGTCCTGACTTATGAAAAACTGCTTATTACCAGTTTACTATTTTAACCCTATTACCCTTTATACCTATCTCTTTTCCTCCAGATAACATCGATCTCAATCTTCTCCCTTCTCCAGATAACAACATCAATCTTCTCCCTGTCCTTTTTGGTCATTTTACAGATATAAGCAAAATTTGCCAAACACTAAAAAACAACTTATCAGCTTATTGCAGTTTGGTACCGTTATAAGCTAATCCAAACACTTTTTACAAAACTCCGATTTGATACCACATAAGTTAATAAGCACTTTTACAAGAAAGCATAAATTGTTTTAAATAAGCAATCCCAAAAACCCCTTTAACTATTAATAAAAACGAAAAATTATATTAAAACACACAACAATCAATAAAAGTTAATACATTAATTTAAAAACTAACGTCTATTAAATGTTAGAACGTTAAATTAAAATACAAAGTGAAAACATTATATTTATCGTTATTTTCTTCTTCTACGAATCTTTGCTAAATCTCGTCCACCAAATTTGATTGTGAACAATGACTCATTGACCTATTACGTACTTGTATATGATTTTGGAGATCGTTTTCATACTTAGGAAGTATGCTATGAGAAATTTAAGTCATAGTTTGTTAGTGATTTTAGTGTCATCAATCATTTTAGTGTGATTGAGATTCACTCGAGATCGATTAAGATGATGAGACAAAGATAAGTGAGTTAAGAGATGCAGAGTGCACACTCATAAATGTTGTATCTAACACCTTAGATTACCAAAAGATGGGGGCTTGGTACGATTAGGATTGGATGGGACAGAATTAGACAATCTACCCCCAAAAGTTATTTGATAATTTTAAATATTATATAATAGTTATAATTAACATAAATAAAATAAATAATTTAGTAATTTAATTTATAAATATTTGTACACAATTTTAATATAATTGAATACATACATATATAGTGGTACCAAATTTAATGAAAATTTTAATATAATTGATGGTAGTAGTGGTGGTGGTGGAGGTGGTTTTGGTTATGGTGGAGATGATGGTAGTCGACGGTAGTAGTGGCAACGGTCGGTGGTGGTCGGTGGCGTATGGTGGTTATGGAAGTAGAGGCAGTGTGGTTGGTGGACGACAGTGGTTATAGAGGACATGAAGATGGTAGATTGTGGTGGTGGTGGTGGCGGTTGACAACGGTGGAGGAGGTGGTTGTGGCTGATGTAGTGGAGATAGTGATGGTGGTGGTGGTGGTGGTGGTGGTGGTGGTGGTTATGGTGGAGGTGAGGTGGCAATGAATGGTGGTGGCCGATGGTGGTTGTGGAGGAGATTGTTGCAGTAGATGAGAAGTTAGAGGCGGTCAATGGTGCTAGTGGTGATGGCAATGGACGGTGGTGGTCGTAAAGGTGGCAATGGACAGTGGTGGTCGGTGGTCGATGGTGGTTGTGGAGGTCATGGAGGAGGTTGTTGCGGTATAAGAGGATTTAGAGGTGGCCAATGGTGGTAGTGGTCGGTGGCCGATGGTGGTTGTAAAGGTGGCAATGGACGGTGGTGAAGGAGGTTGTTATAGTAAAGGATGAGTTGGAGGTGGCGAACAACGATAGTGGTGGTCGATTATGGTAGAGGTGGCGATGGACTTGGTGGACGGTGGTTGTGGAGGCGGTGAATGATGTTGTTGTAGTGGAAAAGGAGGTGAAGGTGGAGGTGGCCGCCAGTAATCGTCGGTGGTGGTGGCGTCCTCCGGAACTTGCGGTGATGACCATAAAAACAAATATCATATTAAGGTTATATATCAAACTAGGGTAGATTAATAATATTATAGTTCTTGTTCCAATTATGTCCCATCTTGTTCTACCTATTTTGGTGGAACAAGAAAAAACCTCTTTTGTCTCATGCAGTCTCACCTTGTCTCTGTCTCATGTCTCGCCAAACAGGGGATAGTAAGTTATTATTCTGTTATGTGTTGCGCCAACACATGGGACAGTGAATTTTGTCTCGTCCCGTCTCATGTACCAAACGTAGCCTTAGCTAAATGAACGAACATGAATAATGGTCTCGTTCATTCATTTACCTTCATGAACATCCATTTACGTTTGTTTATATATGTCTATATGCGTGTGTGTGTGTGTATATATATATATAATGACTTAATATCTAAAATCATTAATTAAATTTATGGAATTCTTTTTTATTCCTTCTCAATTTACCATATTTTTTATTTTATTATGTTATTTTTTAGAACGCAATGTTAAGTAATGATAATTGTTTTTTGTTCGTTCGTTTAACATCTTAACAAACGAACATATAAATAAACACATTTTGTTAATTAACAAATATGAAAACAAAGTTCCATTCATTTAACGTTCATGTTCGTTTGATCAAATTAAACGAACGAATATAAAACAAGCCTTTATTTATATTTGTTCAATTCGTTTACAACCCTATAAAATAGGATACCATGAGTTTGTGTATTTTGATAAAAAAAAATTGTGAGGACTAAATTCAATGTAAGTATAAAACCACATGGACCAAATCTCTAATCTACCCTTGAAAAAAAGTCAAAATATCGCTATACTCTTCCTTTAAAATATGTTTCCAATTTAACAAAAAAAAAGGTTATTAATTATAATTTATAAAGAGATGGCGATTATATATATATTTTTAATTTTAATAAAAAAATAAAAAATAAAAAGTTAACCATGATTAAATGTGGGGGTTAGGTGTATTTGACCAGTCTGGTTTGGTAGGCGTTGCCTCCTTTCTCCTCCCCATAAAAACCCCCCTCGAAAGCCCAGACGTATCTCTCAACTCAACCACACCAGCACAACCCACAGCAGTTAGAGAGAGAAACTAGAGAGAGAAAGTTCAACAAAGTTCTCTTTTTCTTTCCATTTTCTCTCTCTAATCAACGCTCACGTTTTCAATCGACGGCGACGAATTGTTCACCTGAATCGGTTTGAGTCCGGAGAGAAATGCAATCGGACTCGTCTCTGGAAACCTCGTCGTTTGATTTGATTACGGCAGCTCTTAGGGAAAAAGTTATTGATACAGCAAACGCATCTGATAGGGGAGATTCAATGATGCCTCCGGCTTTGGTGATGCTTTTGGAAAATCGTGAGCTGCTGCTGATGCTGACTACATCAGTGGCTCTTTTGGTTGGATTTATCGTTGTTTCGTTGTGGAAGAGATCTTCTGAGAAGAAATCGGGTAAGGATTTGGAGCCACCGAAGATCGTTGTGCCAAAGAGACAGCAGGAACAGGAGGTTGATGACGGTAAGAAGAAGGTTACGATTTTTTTTGGAACGCAAACCGGAACGGCGGAAGGTTTCGCTAAGGTGAATTATAGCTGCCGATTTACAAAGCTTCGACATTCTTGGGAGATTGATTTTATCATGAAAGTTTTCGCGTTTTTTGACATTGAATTCCTCTTTGTTTTGAAGGCACTGTTGGAAGAAGCTAAAGCGCGATATGAAAAGGCGACCTTTAAAGTAATCGATTTGGTGAGTGTTGACTTTTGTAGTACAAATTTAGATGCATATGGTACAAAATGATTCGTGCTGCTTGATCTTGAAACATTTGATTCTTAAAAATGTTGGACTTTACCTGCTAGTTAGATTTTGGATTATAATTATTGTTACCTTTTCATTATACAGGATGATTATGCTGTTGATGATGATGAGTATGAAGAGAAACTAAAGAAGGAGTCATTTGCTTTCTTCTTTTTGGCTACGTAAGCTTTCATGGTCATTTTAATATATCTTCCTCTTTCTGAAGGAATGGTTGACTATTTTAAATTGCGGATCCAAATTGCATCATCTTGAACACGGCAAATACGTAGGTTGAGTTAGAGAAAGTCAATTTTGGAAAAGAAACATAGCAGATGTATAAAAAAATTCAGAAGAGACGATGCTTATTGAACTCTTTAACCAGAAAACTTTCCTAACAATTGCTGAACTTTCATGGACATCCGGAGAGGAACTTGTTGAAAACTTGAAATTTTCATGGGATAGTCAGAGGATGTAAATGTAAAAGATATAGCAGGTTGTTACTTACCTAGTAACTGAATTTGGTATGCTAATTTGTTTGTGTAGATATGGAGATGGTGAGCCAACTGATAATGCTGCCAGATTTTATAAGTGGTTTACAGAGGTAAATGTTGTATACTTGGTATATTGATGTTGCAAATCTAGCCATGATCTGGGGCCTGATTATAATTCATTACTACTTGTATAGGGGGGTGAGAAAGGAGTTTGGCTTAAAAAACTTCAATATGGAGTATTTGGCCTTGGCAACAGACAATACGAGCATTTCAACAAGGTACTGATAAATATGATGCTGCTGCCTTCTTGATGATCGCACATATGCTAGCATTATCGATGCCGGTTAGGCTAATTTGTGAATTCTTCTCTTAAATTTTGTGGTTTCTGCAGATTGCAAAGGAGATTGATGAGGGTCTCACAGAGCAGGGTATGTTCATTTCCTTACATTATCAATATTGAACTTTCAAATTTGTGTCAAGTACTCGGCCCTTTATGTAACATATAGGATACTTAAGTAACTTGAAAAAATAGATTCACAAACAAGCTTCTCTCTATAAGTATGTCGCATGCATCATTACTTGCATATGCTTGTCTCAACGTTAACTTCCCAAGTTATTAAGCATTCAGCTAGTATGGAATATCTTCTCTTCAGTAATTTGTCTGAAGAAATATTATCTCATGCAAACTAGTTTTTTAATTCATTTCCTATATGCTTAATGTTGTGATTCTAACTGATGCTTGACCTTTCTGTCATTCACATGCATCTATGCTATTAAACATGTAGCTAAAAGAGTTAGTACTAATAATTCACCCTTTGCCAACTTACTATGGGTGCTTCGGTTTTTTAACTATGTTTTTAGTTAATGTTCACATATTTTGTCACTGGGTGCCAAAAATATTTAGAAACGCTTTATTCCAGTGTGCTTCGGCTGGTTAACTACTCTATTAGTTTGTGGGTGCTCAGCCTTTTATCTAATGTTTTATGGTTTTCATCACTTTCAGGTGCAAAACGCCTTGTTCCAGTTGGCCTTGGAGATGATGATCAATCCATTGAAGATGATTTTACTGCATGGTATTTAAAGAAAAAAACTATTATATGCCTCTCTAAAAGATAAAACACCGTTATTAAGAATGTGAAGTCCTCTAATGGTTCAGAAATATATTTAAGAATGATGTTGTAACATTTTATTAAATCTTGCTTCTTCAGGAAAGAATTGGTGTGGCCTGAGTTGGATCAATTGCTTCGTGACGAGGATGACAAAGGCGTTGCTACTCCTTACACAGCTGCCATTCCGGAATACCGAATTGTGTTTCATGAGAAACCTGATACATCTGCTGAAGATCAAAGTCAGACAAATGGTCATGCTGTTCATGATGTTCAACATCCATGCAGGTATTAGAAATGTTCTATAACTGGATGCTATGTACTAACCTGTTCACATCTATATAACCTGACACATAAATCTGGTCTTTGCTTAAAGATCCAATGTGGCTGTTAAAAAGGAGCTCCATACCCCTGAATCTGATCGCTCTTGCACGCATCTGGAATTTGACATCTCTCACACTGGACTATCGTAAGTTACTCTATTGTTTATAGTTACGAGCTTCCTATATATCTGTGAACCTGTTTGCCTGTTAATGGTGGACTCCATTTGGATGTTCTCTACATCAAGAAACATTTACAAATAATTCTTTCTGTCCAACTTTTAGATACGAAACTGGGGATCATGTTGGTGTCTACTGTCAGAACCTAAGTGAAGTTGTGGAGGAGGCTGAGAAATTAATAGGTTTACCACCAGATACTTATTTCTCAGTGCACACCGATAATGAGGATGGAACACCACTTGCTGGAGCTTCCTTACAACCTCCTTTCCCTCCATGCACTTTAAGGAAAGCATTGGCTCATTACGCAGATGTACTCACTTCTCCCAAAAAGGTATGCCTGCTGTTTCCTTGTAAAACTTTGAGTGGTAAAAGTTTCTATCAAATTTTAGAGATTAACAAATGGTTGATTGCATACATGTTTCAGTCAGCTTTGGTCGCTCTAGCTGCTCATGCTTCTGATCCCAGTGAAGCTGATCGCCTAAAATTTCTTGCATCTCCTGCTGGGAAGGTTGGGACTTTACTCATGAAAAGTTGTCAAAAGAATTTCTTTTTGTTATTTATGCAAAGTTAATCTTGTATCCTTCTTCAGGATGAATATTCTCAATGGATTGTTGCAAGCCAAAGAAGCCTTCTAGAGGTCATGGAGGCTTTCCCATCAGCTAGGCCTCCACTTGGGGTTTTCTTTGCAGCTGTTGCCCCACGCTTACAGCCTCGATACTACTCTATTTCTTCCTCCCCAAAGTGAGTAGATTCCAATTCCACCCTTAAGGCAGCTTTTCAATATAGCATTCCTAATTTCAAACTATTTGATCAATTTTTGCTCCCAGATATTTAAAGAGCATATGTATTTCATCGTTTAACTAACCGTCTGCAATGATTTATTATTACAGGATGGCACCTAGCAGGATTCATGTTACTTGTGCATTAGTTTATGAGAAAACGCCTGCAGGCCGTATCCACAAGGGAGTCTGTTCAACGTGGATGAAGGTACTTAAATCTATCACAAATCCATCTTTTGTAATGCCCAATAGCCAAATAACTTCCAATTCAACTTAAAACCACAGTGGAAGTTAGCTTACAAGGAGTCAACTGATCAAATGTTCTATTCATGTGGGACAAGTTATTTTGAATTTGACTCCTTAATCATTAACTCATACTCATGGTTTCATCACAGAATGCTGTGCCTATGACGGAAAGTCAGGATTGCAGCTGGGCACCTATTTTTGTTAGAACGTCTAACTTCAGACTTCCTGCTGATCCTAAAGTTCCTGTTATCATGATTGGCCCTGGAACCGGATTGGCTCCTTTCAGGGGTTTTCTTCAAGAAAGATTAGCTCTGAAGGAAGCTGGAACCGAACTGGGATCATCCATTCTATTCTTCGGATGTAGAAACCGCAAAGTGGTAAGTTCAAACTGAATTTGTTTTTGTTTTTTTTGACAAAAGTGGTTCTATTTTGTTCAAATCTTAACCTATAATGAATGGTTTTGATATTTTAGGATTTCATATACGAGAATGAACTGAACAACTTTGTTGAGAATGGCGCTCTTTCCGAGCTCATTGTTGCTTTCTCCCGTGAAGGGCCCACTAAGGAATACGTGCAACATAAGATGAGCCACAGGGTAAGAGAAACAACGAAATGCCATCCATTATTTACGCAAATCTATGATATCTTGTTTTTTATAAATATAAATGATAATTCTACAGGCTTTGGATATCTGGAACTTGCTTTCGGAAGGAGCATATTTATACGTTTGTGGTGATGCCAAAGGCATGGCTAAAGATGTACACCGGACCCTTCACACAATTGTGCAAGAACAGGTATGTTGGGTTTCCTACATTTCTTCCATTTTTACTTTGTTTCCAGTAACTCCTCAGAAAATAATATAACTACCACATTAGATTCTGGACTACCATCCAAGAAGCGTCTGATCCAATTTGGATCGGATGTCTTTCTTTCTACACACCCTTAAATTGTCGTTAGTCTAAATGGTCCTGGAGAAAACCCACCTAAAATATATTAACATCTATGATGGCATTTATTAAGAATGGGGCTATTTGGAGAAATGTGGTTTAGATGGTGACAGGCAACTATAATAAGTATGCATTGCCCAAAGTTGACTTTATATATTCAAAAGTGAGTGGTACTGGTATATAGAAATGAATGGCATATTGAAATTGTGAAAGTAAAAAAGGATGTTATTTATGGTGATTTCAGGGATCTCTAGACTCGTCAAAGGCAGAGCTGTATGTGAAGAATCTACAAATGTCAGGAAGATACCTCCGCGATGTTTGGTAGTTGAGTCCTTTCAAGACAAAAACAAAAACAAAAACAAAAAAGAAAAAGGAAAATAAATGAGACGTAACTTACTTGGAATTATGCAAGTTTTAATAGTTTGATAATATTTCCTGCTGTCTTTACAGTCATCCGAATTCTTTTTCTACATCATTTTTTTGTTCTTGTAATTTGTAAGGATATATATAATATTAATATATATATGTAAAAGACAGGTATGTATATATCTGTGTTTATTATATATATATACATATACATATATATACATATACATATATATATATATATATATATATATATTTCTTGTTAGAATAATATAAGCTTCTTGGTTTTTGATGGTTTTATTTGCTAAACCCTAAAGATTACCGAAGTTAAGAGGCCAACTTGGTTTTGATCATTACTCTATCCATAATCATCTTAGAACTACATTTTACGGATCTTTGTGTTTGGGAGCCGGACCGGGCGTACGTGTACGCATAAGGTCTATAAAAAATAGGGGGGTTTTAAAAAGTTAGTAATATAATACACAAAAATTCTAGTGGTATCCAATATGATCTAAAATGAATTTAGTATTAGTATTATATTAAGGGTTCAAACATGTATCAGTTAATTACATTGGCTTGGCTAGAATATAGGTAAAAAGTTATTTCGTTGTTCATTTTATAATATTGCTTATTATTTCTCTAAGTTTTTTTATCTACTACTAAAATCTAAAACTACTTTGCCTATAAAACATTGATATATTTTTCACCATTCTCTCTCACCGACTCTTTTGGTTATTCAATTCGCATGAATTCTATTCATGTATTAAAACGTATAGGTTTTTGTTTTCGAGAGTTTTTTTTATAGATAAAGTGTGTTTTTTATTTGGAAGAGAGATGTTTGAGAAAAACTTGGCTTTTCGCATAAAGCTATAGCTAGAAGCTTATTAAATAAGCTACTTTCTATATCATTAACCTACGATCAAACATTCATGTATAGTTGACCGAATAAGTTGGGAGTCCCACCAAGTGTATTGAGCTGCTAACAAGCATGCCCTTAGTTGTTGCTAAATATTTATCTTTGATTGTATCTACTTGGTAGTGGTGCAAAATGGTGCGGTTTGATCATTTTTCCAAACTGCAAACCTTTCTACATATATCTCAAACCATGAAAATACATATCACGAAATGTGATGCAGTGTGATTTATAAGATTTGTATTTAACACACTTCAATCCCGATAAATTATAAATCATAAGTTTAAAATAATTTTTTTGATGATATGTCCATAAAAAGGGTTGCAATACGTCTTAAATATGTGGTAAAAGAAGTTCAAATAAACCAAAAAGTTCCACAATTAATCCATATAGTCCAAAACAAACTTAAAACTTTCAAACCCAAAACAAAACAAAAACTTCTAATCTATGTTGTCATTATCGCGAGTCCCGATAAATTATTCAAAACCCCGTGATTTGAACCGCACTTTCATAATTCAAAACCGGATGGAAACTGCCAATAAAGCGTCGTTTGATAGAAATTCGAACACCCCTACTACTTTCTCTTAAAAATTAACATTGTGCTATGTGAAAATTTAGCTAGTAAGAACATCTCTAAAAAGATGAAGAATCAAGTATCAAAATTCCACAAGGATGGTGTCTAATTGATTTGAGCTTGGCTCCAAAGATTAAAAGTACCAAGAGGTCTTATGTTCAAATCCAAGGAGAAATAAAAATCTCCTTGTGACCACGGATTTTCAAATGCGGTGACTCCAGACTATCTGCAAAGCAGGTGGTCGTCCTTAGATTAATCGGCTCGCATAGCGGGTTGGATATCCACGTTAATAAAAAAAATCCAAGAAAAATTACTTCCAACTCTAACAAATTACCCGTTTTGAGAGTTACGATATTGATTATATTATTAACATATTATTTCTCTTTTAAACATTTTAAATTTAATATTTTAATTGATGAATATAAATCTCTCTCCTTACTTTCTGTATTAGAATTCTCATTTGTTAGAAATGGTTTATTCTATATTGAGACATGACGAGAACAATTACGTTTTGTTTACCAAAATAAACGAAACTTATTCCTGATTCACGTCTTTCTTGCCCATCAAATTCTCCTTGGATTCCAAAAAGCGAAAATTAAATGCATTTTAAAAACAATTGGTTCTAAAAAAAACACCGAACGTTTTCTAGAAAGAAAATATTGTAGACAAATACTCGACCTCATACCATCCATCCCCATATCCATAATTACCACATGCGGCGGGTGTTTTTATGTGCCATAAAACTCTATTATTGTTATTTGAAATTCCAACAATAAATTTTGTATTTGATTTGAATTCAATAATTTTACTGCTACTAGAAAGATGCTCACGCAATGCAGCAAGATAAATTTTCATTTTAATGTTTAATTTTTATTGTTTTTATTGACATAATACGGTTTTATATGGTTTTGAGAAAACGATAATGTTTTATTTTTAAATGAAATATAAATTTTAAGATAGCATAAATATCTGAAAATAATAAATCGATATTATTATACAATTAACTATCTAATAGCTCTCATTTTTATGGTGTAAGTTCTTTAATTCAATTTTTTTTTACTATAATAACAAAGTAATTTATTTTTAATTTGATAATATAATTTTTTTATAAAGATAATAATTAAACATTTGTTAGAACTCAATGATTATCTTAATTATATTTTAGATTTTTTATATTTAAAATGGATATCTTGTATTTGATTATGTTTATTTGCAGTTAGTTACACAAATTTAAAAATAAAACTTTAATAAGTTGTACTTACGTAAAATTACTTGTAATCTTGAATTTTAAATAAATATACATCAACAAACAGTACTACATGCATAAAAAATAGTTTCTAAGAATTTCTATCAAATGTTCTATAATATAGTATAGATATGGTCAATTAATTAGATTTAGAAGAAAAAAAATATTACATATAAGAAATTAAAACCCTAATTTTTCAAGATAAAAGTAAAAAGAATATCATTTGGTAGATAATTTGTCATATCATTTGATTCTGATTTTAATTACTAAAGTTATATTTATTAAAAACCAACCAACAATGAATGGTGATTAAAGATATACTATACTATATTATAAAGTATTTGACAAAAACTCTTAAAAACCATTTTTTATGCATAAAGTACTGTTTATTGATGCATATTACTTAAAATTCAAGATTACAAGTAAATTGTGCATAAGTACAACTTATTAAAGCTTTATGTTTGAATTCATGTAACTAACTACGGATAAACATAATTAAATAGATGATAAACATCTTATTTTAAAATATAAAAAATCTAAAATATAATTAAGATAATTATTTAATTCTAACATAATACTTAATTATTATCTTTATAAAAAATATATTATTAAACCTAAATTAAGTTACTTCATTATGTTAAATTAAATTATAATAAAAATTTTGAATTAAAAAAGATACACAAACAAAAACTTTTAAATAGTTAATTTAATACTAATATTGATATATTTTTTACAAATTCTATATGATATTTTTAAATTAATATTTTTATTCAAAACTAAAAACATTATCGTTTTTTCAAAACCATATAAAATCGTATTATATCGACATGAATAAAAAATAAAGCGAAACATTGAAATAAAAATGTGTCTCGATGCATTGCACGAATACCTTTCTAGTTTATTAAAAAACCAACAAAAAACAATGAATGGTGATTAAAGAGTTGTGATAGCAGATTCTAGAAAATCCCCACCCCTACCACTCGCGTCCCGATCAATTGATGTTGTTGGACAATATGGACTTCATTTTAGCCTCTTTAATATATTTTTTTATTAATCTGGATATCCAACCCACCCATTATGCGAGCCGATTAATCTCAGGACGACCACCTACTTTGCGGATAGCTCATAGTCACCGCATTTAAACATCAGCTTCTTTAATCATATATTATCATGAAGGTTTACACGTTAAGATCATTCATGGTCGCAAGGGAATTATCTAAAAGCCTACAGTTACGTAGAAAAAGATAGTTTTTTATAATTTTCTGGATTGCTACTTACCAGTATTATTGACGTCTAAAAAAGCTGCAAGTGTATGGATGGGGTCACAACTCATGCATTTTATTTTACACGTCTCCAGAACTAATGAATGGTCCTAAAAAAAAGTCACATTTGTCATTACAACATTATTGCCCTTTCATTATAAAGGGGGACGATGGAGACATTGGTTGAATATTTGTATCATATCGTTTTCTCCAAAACAAAATACGTGGTCAGCATTCTAACATACAAATGCACACCAACAGACCTCAAATTATTTGCCTGACGTGTATAACTTATAACTTAATTATTAAAGATTTTAGATTCGAATCTTATTAACTTCTAAGATCTGTACTTGTTGGCCTGAACGACATTTGGCAAGTTTAAGCTATGTGAAAGTAATGTATTGCATGAATCGTATGGACTCGTTCAGCCGAAAATGTTTTAAGAAAAGCACATTCTAAGGGTAACCTATTTTCCAAAAATAAGTATGCCGTGGGATTATATCGCCTTACCAGGTTGACTATTAATGCCTTTTCAAGGATGACATAGTTCGATATAGATAATAACAGGACAGGATAGATTTAGTCCTGATTTTCTTTTCTTTTTTTTTCTCTAAAAAATCCATTGTTGTTTCTGCGAAAACAAATCCAAACATTAGAATCTTCAAAAAAATCAATTTTTAACAGACCCGATCCTAATCTGGTAGTTTCCTGAACGATCCTATTGTGAATCACTAGTCTACTCTAAAGTTTGTGACTTCCTCTTTGGCCTCCTTGTGTTGATCACCACTCTGAGGTGTTAGCGCGTTGAGCTATTCAAGCTCAAGCCTGTTTATCTTGAACATAATAATTGTCGAGCTCGAGTTGATCTCAAACTCACACTAAAAGTCGTGTAACTTAACCAGTCGGGTTCTATAGCAGAGTCGAGTCGACTAGAGTCAAACCATACGAACATACATTTTTGTAGCTAAACACGTTCATATATTCAAGTAAACAGCAAGCTAACTGATCTCGAATTCGAACCATAGACGAATATCAAACTCGAGTTAGAACATTGAAAAAAAGTTCGAACTCGAGCTCAATCCCTATTGTGAAAAAAGTTATTCAAACTCGAGTTAGTAATATTTCTTGAGCTGAACTCGAATACCCTGCAACCCAACCCGACTCGTCAGCACCCCCAATCACTACAAAAGCATATCAGACAATAACCAATGAAGCTTGGCCCGAGTTTTTCCATTGGTCTTTTTCTTTATTTTTCAACATTTCGTCAGATATTCCAATTAACCCATTTTCATAAGGACATTTGTAATAGTTTCCCTTCTTATTCAGACGCTAATGATTATGCTAAGGGGCAATTAAGTAAAACTACATGACTTGAAATAATTTACCATCACTAACTTAAAGTGCATGTTTATTGTTTTTCATGGTTCTCTTATAATCTAACTGCCAACTTACGTTCCCCCTCTGGAGTTGACATAATTCCATATTCGGATCTTCATGATGAATAGAGTATGGGGCCTCAATTAAACAATGAAATGGGCTGTTAGCCCAAGTGCTCATGATTATGTTGGTTCAGTTGGGCCAAAATGCGACTTCCACACATTATTCTAAAACAGAAGCACTTCCATCGTCCAATCTGGCGCTACAAACTCCAAATTTGTGGACTAAGTTACAACAATAAAGTGAAATTACTCTTATACCCCTTTTATTTCGTCGGGATTAGACGGATCCAGCTTAGATGGACTTTATGCATCCCAAGCTAGGAGGATTGGTCTTATGGAATAGGCTTAAGGCCAGGGGTATATGAAGGACTACAGGGTGGAAGAAAAAACTAACAAAACGACACCATTTTGATTAATACTAGCACAGATATAGATTTTTTAATCATCATCATCATAAAAAGAACCCTCAAATGGTATTCGGACCGATCAATGCTTTGAAAAGGGCAGGCTGTGTTTACACCTTTTACATGGAAGCATGGACCAGTTTCACCATTCACCCACACTCTCATGAGCATAACAACTGATCATATGCCGACTCGGATTTTAAACAGTGGGAAATCACTGAACTGGCAGTTGCACCATCATATTTCTAGTACACACAGAAGTAAAAGTGATCTCATTGTAGCTAACAAGAGGCATGATGGCACCAAAGGAACATTGGCCCAGTGGTTCTTGAGTTACCGGTAGAGCCCAGCCTCCCAAAAGGCCAAGGGTTCAAACCTCGCCAAAGAAGAGGAGTGTGAATATTTTCCGTATATAAATATTATATGCTTCAGAAAAAAGCAGCATGATGGAAAAATAAAGAAACAGATAGTGTTTTCAGAAACAGTAGGTTATACATGTGTATTCAAAGCAATATGTTACTTCAGATGACAGGAGTATGCAATATCTCATTGAAGTATAATATTTTTTCTTTCAGAATACGACAATGAATAGATGGTTCTCTCTATTTGAAGGAATTTTGCTTACCTTAAAAGAGGTCTTAGGTTGCTGAGTCCGTGAACGGAGGAAGTCCCCAATCAGCTGGGTTAAAATCTAACAGTGAGCTCAGAACTTTATCTGCAGTTTCATGGTAAGAGCTATCCAGTCTTGGATCTGGAACCATAACTACAGACCTGCATCATATTTACATAGAAAATTTGTTCATGGTTTAAACAAGTTTAACCGACAAACAGACCATTGTTAAGTTTCACGCTTAATTAACTGAAATGTTGCTTCGGTTATAGGTTGGTTAATATGATTCAAGTCATTTGGAAACATTACTAAATTAGAGCACTTACATTCCGGCATTCTTGGCTGCAAGAACTCCCGATGGTGCATCTTCAAAAACAAGAATCTTTGAGGGATCTACTGAACCACCCTGTTTCCTCCAGAGAATTTTTCAAGGAAGTTTGTCAACGACTGCATTAGCAAGTATAAGAGCATTTTTTAAAATAGATTCACCTCAAATCTTCTGGCAGCAGCAAGAAATACATCAGGTGATGGCTTGCCTTGTTTAACTTCTGGATCATCACCCATGACAATATGGTGCATCAATGAAAATATCCCACCATGATTTTGTGTTTTCAATTCATAGTGTCGTTTATGAGATCTGGAAATCACAAACACAGGTAAGTAAAGATTCTTGAAAAACTTTCAAGAGGATTTCCTTTTTCCAAAGATATTCTATTTTGAAGCTAATAAAAAGGGATGATAGAAAGCTTTGTCCTACCCTGTTGCAACGCAAATCGGCACTCCTGCAGCATGCAGATGTTTGACTAAACGACTTGCACCTACAATTGGTCATTTAAATTCTCATAAATTAGATGATAATACTTGCATTTAGTCCATAGAAGAAGAAAAAATGTCTATGGTGGGTATGTAGCTCAAAGACGAGTGAAATTAGCTTTATGCCTTTATATTGATAAATTTTGAGGAGAAAATGCATACAGAAGGGAAAAGGATTTCAGTTGAAACAATGTAATTCCTAAAATGAAATGGGATTCACTATGCAAATTACATTTTCTCCATTCCCTCTTAATGTAGAGCCATAATAACTGTTTTCTCCAAGCAATTACCAACATCTGGCCTTCAGCAATGCTGATGCCGCAATTAATTTTTAATGTACCCTACATGCTCACTATCACATAAAAATTTCTTTCCAATGGAACATTTTCAAAGAAAGATATAATAGCCCTATCCCCTTTAAAATGCTTAACTGAATGAAGTCACCTTTTCTGCGGTTCATACAAACCGCTACATATATTGCAGCCAAGTCATGTCAAAAGTGCTTAAAAATTTATCATTTGGGTATAATACATATTGTATGTGCAACTGAATTTACTGTCATCATTACATTTCTCTTTTAGTACAAGCAACAAACACAATTGAGTTCATAAGATGGTGGAAAGTAACAGCAAAGATTACAAATCAGCATACACTTCAGGTTTGATGAATCACATCATGTTAAAATCAATTATGGCCACATACCTATAATTCCTGGAAGCAATGATTTGGTATCTACTGAAAGCTTAAAGGTTTGATTCAGAATTACATGCTTGGAAAGAACGGAACAGAAGAAAGCACACAAGAGATAATACAAGTGCTAACCATGTGCTTCAATATTCAATGCATTAGAAATTAAGGATCCATTTGTTTAGTCCATTTTATTTCTCTTGTTTGCTCTATTTGCATGATGGGAGGATAAAACGAGATGGGGCCCACGAATGGAAGAAAGTGAGCTAGTGTATCACCAGATATGACAATTCAAACTCCACACAGTTGAAGGAGAGATTCTGTAAAGACAGCAGCCAGAAACCGAACAGCTTTAATCTGCTTATCTGTGCTGAGTTCCACCTTGTTTGATGAGTAAAATATCAGAAATCAAGCCTAGTCTTTTAACTCATAACGAATGAGCAAGGTATGTTCATCATTGGAAAGCTTGGCTCATTAGTGTACTTATATAATGATTTGTGTTAAGCAACTCAGACAAATTTGGCTCTTCCAACTTGTCATGGGAGTATACAATATTTCAGGACCTGTTTAATAGAGAAGAGAAGGGTCTGAAATATGGATGGACATATACACGATGCCTTCAGGTGATCGGGTATTATTAAAGAAAGTATTTGGTTGCAGCCTGAGGAGAGGAATTTTGTACTATTTCCTAATATACTTTCTACCCAAGTAGAAATAATCAGTCTTTTGTTATGATCGATGTAGTCCCAGTGAGCTTATTGATATCAATGCGCTGTAAACCTTTAGGGCGAGTTTAGTACCCAAACAGGACTAGACAAAACAGGACAACTGTTTCGCATTTGGTAAGACAGGACTGGATAGAAAGGGACTTGTAAAATGACCAATTCACCCCTAATAAGTTGTTTATATCTTTTCTATATTTCGGTTAATTTATGTAATTCAGTAAATTATAATAAAATAAATATTGTTTACAACAAAATATATCATTAGGAAGTTTTCATCAAGACAATTAAAATGACACAAAAATATGAAGTTTATTTGATTTCCAATTTTTACTTTATACCTTTTCTATATTGTGTTTTTATTATTAATATTTAATAAATTACAAATTTACCAAAATATAGAAAATGTATAAAAATAATACTTTGAGGGCAGTAAAGTGAAAGCTTAAATAGAATAAAATACAATAAATAAAATTTAAAGAATGAATAAAATGTAAAGAGAGACATATTTGATGTTTTAGAATGAATTAGGTTTTATTTTGAGGGTATAATAGCAAAATATAGGCTTGTTCCATGAGATGGGTTGGAACACATCTATTCCACTATGTTCCACATAGAAGTCATGCCACCGTGGAACAGTGATCCCTGTTCTGTTTTTCTTATCCAGCGTACCAAACACACCCTTACGCTGATTCGCAGAAGATATGTATTCCTCTCGTTTTCCTTTCACCACCTTTTCCTATTCTTCACCTTTCCATGATCCTTCTACATATCATCCTGCGCTGCCATTGGCTTATCCAATTCCTTTAGCAAATTACAGTTTCTGCTTACCATAGTGTTTTCTTATGGTTGTTTTATCTTTTATGTTTATTGTTCTTCCAAAATGGTAATGGAAAAAAATGACTTCTTTATTAGTGTCATCAAGACAATGCATGCAAGAGTTTCTCCCTGATTCCTTCACACTTTTATTACCAGATATTCAGCATTACTTGAAGTCTTCTGTCATAAGTTTCATCCAAACATTTTCCCTTGTAAGAAAATAACATATTAATGAGGGCGAGGAGGATAACGTATATATTGACCTAGCTTTCTGTGTTATTTCCACATTACTTCGCTAAAATCAAACAAACTACTGCATGCTAACTTAGGAAAATATACAATATCATCTTACATAGATGTCTGTAAATCGAATTCAGGTAGATAACAGTAATTTGTAGCTACACATTCTCTAACAGACCTCCTCTGATGTGCATTTCATTGTGAGGAAATGTGCTTTAGTGCATTTCTGTTTAAAAGGGGATACAGAAAAAACAATGAACCTTTAACTAATCCTACGGATAAACATATAGTACCTGGCATGAGGTCACATGTAGGAAACATCTTCTGTAACATAGCTTCTCGTTCCACCAGGAAGTCTTCAGCGGTAAGTGAATCACTAATTCCAGTTTCTTCGACAAACACCCGTGCAGCCTCTATAGCTTTCTTCCCCATCATCTTTGCCTTTAGAGACCAATCAAAAGTTTTGTTGAATCTCGAAAGTATTATCTCCTGAACTTCTGTATAGAATTTCTCAGTATCTGCCAACACAAGATTCTGTGTTATTCTTTCCAATATCCAACATATTAACTGCACAAATATGGACTGGTAATGAATTGGGGTGATCAAGGAGAACACAGAGAAATCTGATGCTTTGAATATACAATGGATTTTAAAATACGTAGCTACTGGGAGCAAATAGAGAAGTTTGCATATGATCAAGTGATTATATGGACCAATGTTCGTGTCAAAGGTGTTCCAGCTGTTGACATCTTCAAAATTCAAGCACACTCACCTACTAATGTCAAATTACTAAGACCCCTCTGAAGAATTATAAATTAAAAGAAAAACTTAAAGGAAGGGAAAAGGGACTTTGTTTTGACCTCACAAGTAATTTCAGTGTGTAATCTTATGTATAATCAAGCAAGCACAATGTATTGGGGAGCTCGCATATAAGTAGTGCATGTTAGGCTAATCATGGATAGCAACAATGGATCCGAAAGAATATAATGATGGTTTCAATTATGGGGACAGATAAAGTACTACTTATCAAGAACGTCAACTGCTTCAACTTTCTATGACAAACATAACTTTTAACATATGAACTGCTACACCAGAAAATCATCATGCCATGTACCCTATTACAGATTGTAGAAAAATGCAGAAGGGGTATTTCTGTCTATTTATATCAAAGTTAGTTAATAGTTGTTACTTGTTAGTGTAGTTTGGTACTTTGGTAGTTAGTATACTTGCTACAGTTAGCTGACAGGTAGAGCAGGCTAGATTTTAGTACAAATACAAATGTAATCATCCTTTCAGTAATATACAGAAATTCGCTCATTTCATCTGCTCTTCAATTCAGTCCACGAGCAGTAATATGGGATCAGAGCATAATCCATCACGTTTTCTCTGAACTGAAATTCTAGTTTTACAACTTGATTCATCACATCAACACACGGATGCTAAGTTTTCATAAGTCCCTGAATCGACTGGAGCAAGCATCTTGTCAATGAAGTTTTCACAGTTCATGATTGATTCTGGTTTTGTAAAGTCCAAGGCGATTATTCATTATTTTTAAGAGGAGTTGACAGGAATACATTCTTCTAATTGTTTACATCGCGATATTATCATCAATGATGCTTCTTCTCTACTATTCCTTGTCATAAAAATCAGTTGAGTCATGCATTTTTATATTAGACCCTTAAAAGAGTATTTCCAAGGTTTGGAAGTTGCACGGTTTACATCTGGTAATTCATCATCATAATTCACAACCACAATATACCTTAAGAATTATTGGCGACTAAACTGACATCCACGCCCATCGATCCTAAAATTAACTTGAACGAACCGGATGGTGATACACTTCCAGCTTAAATGGTTGTTGTATTTAACCATGTATCGGCTTGACATTTCCCTTGTTGTTCATAAACTTCCACAGTTTACGTCTAAGCTCAGACTCACTCACAGGCCTCTAAACATCTCATTCAATTTTGAAGCTACAACATGATCAAGGGGTATTTTTGTCAGCCAAGTCTAATTTCCAGTTACAGACTTACTGTTACTCAGACTGAGGAAAATGTTCAGATACCAGAACGTCTGGTTACGGGGTTTTGTATTTTCCTGGGCAATTTTCTGATTTCTTGAAAATCCAAAAGGCAGCCTACAGTTTCCAGGTCCTCAACAAAAGCTGAATATAGAGCTATGGCTCCTACTATATGGGAACTGGTGTGCATTAAACAATTGCTGTGAGATTTTGATATATGTCAATGTCATCCTACAGCAGCATTTATGTTCTGTGATAACAAATCTGCACTACAAATTGCTATTAATCCTGAGCGCACCAAGCATATAGATTGCTATTTTGTTAGCGAGAATGTTGCAAACATAATGGTACACTTGATGCCTATTCAATCTGCCTATCAACTAGCAGACAGACATTTTTACTAAACCGTTGGCATTGTCAGTGTTGTCTTCTTTGCTGTCCAAGATGAACGTAAGATATTTACCCTCCATTTCCATCTTGAGAGGAGTACTACAGATTGTAGAAGGATGTAGAAGGAGTATTTCTATCTAATTAGTAATTACATCAAAGTTAGTTAGTAGGTGTTAGTGGTTGTAATTTAGTAGTTGGTATGCTTAATTACAGTAGTTAACAGGTAAAGCAGGTTAGCTTTTAGTATAAATACAGATGCAATCTTCTTTTCAGTAATATACATAAATTCGCACATTTCCTCTGTCCTTCAATTCAGTTCACGAGCATTATTTATGCTAGCACTATTAACTCTCATGTGTTTCAGGACTTTATCTTGGATGTAAAACACATAATGTCGCTAAGCCTTAAACCTGATATTTGATTATCAGCACAAAATATAAACCAGATCATATCTGATTCAATGTTCGCACCGACAAAATCACTAGCTGAAAGCATTTACGCAGTCATAATAGGTATAAAGATTGACTACAGTCAACAAAAAGCTAGGTTGCAGACAAAATGGTTATTATCTTGATGCATTGTTGGCCATCAATTTCAAAGAAAGGGCTACAATTTTTGGCTATTGAAATCCGTAAGAGATGTTATGGATAAGAAAAAATGTTGTGCAAACTTGTATCGAATTGATATGAATTTGATCTTGTGATGCATATCTTTGACCTTGATGTCAAAGTGTACCAACATAAAGGTCTGGTGATAGAATCTCGTGAACAAGATAACAGCATTTAATTTAGTAATGCCCTCCTATGATCTAGGATATACGTTGCAATTAAACTGGATATTTACAAAAGGCATCTTTAGATTTCCCCAACCCTCAGTTCGGATTGTTCTCTGTAACTCGGGAACAGGAAGCTGAATCACTAGTAATCGCGGATCTAACATAAAATCCCAGAAAACAAACAAACAAATCGAGGAGTCACCTATCGCATTGATCGAATTATCAAAACTACAACCTTAAGTATAACGATTTGTAGTTCCAACTACGAAAAACATCAAATGTTATACGTGTTTTCCATCAATACATAGACTTTACAAAGCATTTAGTGATTACTTGGCTGGATGTCAGTGATGAATGAAACAAAATAAGATGAGTAACTAGAATTCAGAGGTATAAAAGTACAAACCGATCAAAAGGCCGTCCATATCAAAGATGACGTGAGTGATTAACTTCTTCTCTGAATCGCAGACAGTCTGAGTCGCCATTTTTGCCGATACAGACGCGCTTCGGAACTGGTACCTCAACTGTATTTTACTGCTATAAAACCTTACACTCGATCTTGGCGTTTGGGTGGCGCACACAATCAAATCCAAGATTTGTTTAGGTTTTGAAATAATGTTGTGTTTCATGTCAAAGAAACATGGAATAGAATCCTGTTGCAACTTGCAAGGGATGTGAAAACCTTTCTTTTCGAATAAAATGATAACAAACTAATATTTTAAATAATTTCTTTGCATCACAAAATCGTGTACAATCATTTTAATGTTATAGGGAGTTTTGGATTGCTTATAAAAACAATTTATTGACTTATTTCGATGTCGCACCGGTAATAAGCATTTTTGAGTGTTTGAATAAACAATTTATACCGGTAATAAGAAGTTTTTGAAGAAGCTAAATCATTCTAACTTATAATAAGTTGATAAGCATTTTTGTAGAAAAGCATAAGTTGTTTCAAATAAGCAATCCCAAACACCCCTTAATACAAATAAAAAGAATTATAAATAACAAAAAGAAATACAAACATTCCAAAGTTTAGTACAAGCATGTTAACAACTACATTAATGTTTGGTTTACGAATGTAATTTGGTGGAATTGGAATCAACTTAATTTCCAAAGTTTTGTTACATTTGCTACGACACCAAATTCAAATCTCTCGTATATATATGTCATGAATGATCAAATTCCTCAACCGTATAATCCATTTAAATCATTATGTGAACCAAACATCACAAAAAAATTTGATCAAAGAAATTTGTCATTCCAATTCCATCAATTTCATTTAAATTCTACGAACCAAGTAGCCCTTAAAGGTATACATGATTTGAGTTTTGGACAAACTATTTGAGCTTGAACTCGGTTATATCAAGTTTAATATTAGTAATTCTCAAGTCAAGCTATTTAAGTATATATTTCCGGTTAACATGTTTATAAGTTATGTAATACAAGAATCGTTGCTAGCACCAGGTTTTGAAACCACGTCCCATGATGTTGATAACAACTTCTACCATTAATACAAGTGTTTGTTTCAATCATTATCAAGGTTCAAAATGGTGCGAGACGTGACATAAGGTGAGTACGTTGTGTTTTTCAAGGTGTGACTTAAGGCGGAAAACTTGTATGCTATATTTATAAAATTATACATATACATATATATGTTTTCTATATGTTATTCAATTGGATTAAAAAATTTACATTCATATTAGAAAAATCAAATAGATTATCTATACTATATTATAAAACATTTGATAAAAACTCTTAAAAACTACTTTTTATGCGTAAAGTATTATTTATTAATGCATATTACTTAAAACTCAAGATTACAAGTATATTTGACATTAACATTGATATATATATTTTTAATTTTTTATGATATCTTCAAATTTATATTTTATTCAAAAATAAAATCATTATTGTTTTTTTTTAAATACATAATCTATACTATCTATACTATATTATAAAACATTTGACAAAAACTTTTAAAAAAAATTTTTATGCACGAAGTATTGTTTATTGATGCATATTACTTAAAATTTAAGATTACAAGTAATTATGCATAAGTACAACTTATTAAAGCTCCATACTTGAATTCGTCTAACTAACTGCAAATAAACATAATCAAATATTGGATAAATATCTTATTTTAAATATAAAAAATCTAAAATATAATTATGATAATCATTGATAACTAACATAATTTAATTAAGAAAATTACACCAAAACACAAGAACTTT